TGTAGCAAACAACTAGACTCACAGAAGGAAAGCAGGTATTTGGCATAAGTGACATTGTTAACACAAACTCTTGGCTCTGTGAAGTCCTGTACCAGTCAGGGAATGAAGGAAAGCATAGTTCCCAGATGCCCACTAAGGGCCAACCTTGCACGCAGACCCTTCTGCACGTAGCTTCCTTGGTCCTGCTATATTAACTCTTTTCTGCACAGATATATTGGGTTAAATAAACTATTAGTAAAATTAATTCCACCTGTTTCTTTTTAAAAACACTTTTTAATGTAGCTACTTGCTCATGTTTTTGGATCGCATATTTTGGGCAGCACTGGTCTAAATCTTACATAAAAAATTCTTCTCTAATGTGTTTTAGTTATCTTCTCTATATACATGAATGATTTCTCCATTAGTACAGATTTGATAAGTAAATAGGTGAAAAGCCTTCTTCAAGTGATGTCTCTACACTAATCACTGAAAGTAAGACTGAGTCGAAGGCTGCAATAGACTTAGCTCCATATCCCAAATGTAGCTTTATCACCCAAGAACAAGAAGAAAACCACCTTCCAAAAAACTGTGTATGAAATCAAAATAAAGGATTTCATGAATTTTTATAAAACGTTAAGTCCCAGTTTGAAAGTCTCCTTGTGATAAGCACATTTGAGAGCTCCAAACAGTACATTTTTACATACTTATCATTAATTCAAATTGTTAAACTATTTCTTTTGTTCGTCTCTGAGCTTTTAATGATTTCTAATTGTTGTGAATCCATCCATGAAAACAATATTTCAGAAGAGTTTTATATAAATGCACTAATTCTGCATCAGAGATTCGCCTCATATCTACCCATTGTAGATTGCAGATGTGACTAAAATAGTATAACTTGGCTAAAATGAATGATATAGAATAGCAATCAGGATATGTTTAACTTCTTCCCAAGCACCGAATGCTAATGTATACCTCACTCTTTAAGAAAGGATATGGTTTTAGGAAAATAATTTCTAGGACTGGATCTGTGAAAGCAGCAGAAGATATTTTTGTTAGAATAAATCCATAATGTGATTTTCAGTGACATATTGCCTACAGGCCCCCTGCAGGCTTAGTTGAAAGTCAGAACCAACTTTCAGCATCTCATCAAACTGCCACATCTCATCAAAAGTGGAGGGGAGCTGAAATCTCAGCCCCCCTTCTTTTTCCACACCATGACCCAGTAGTGAGTAAAGAGGGAAAGTAGAGAGTCCTCAGGCTGTAAGTAGAGAGCAGTTCATAACTGGCTCTATTTTTGCTATTATCTTTGTCTCCTGCTTATAAAGACTTAGAATTCAGCCATTTTCTATAGTTTTGAATTGAAGCATGTCATTAGCATCCCATGTCAATAACTGATACTTTGATTCTCATTATAAAGAGCTATGCTTGTACATAACATTTAATAATGAAATCCATAAAATTTAATAGATTGTAATTATAAATATAACACATTTCTACAAAACCTAATCTGATAGTATCAGTGCTGCTTTATAATTGCTGTAAATAATGTGGAGAGCAATTGTAAAGAACTCTATAACTGAGGGTATTTTCCACTCACTAGTCAGTCAGTGAGAAACACTGAGCACTGTCTTTTTTGCCACTGTTGAAGCTATAAAGAGCCATCAAAATGCAGTCACATAATGTTCTGTGGATAGACTTTAAGAGCTAATGATAGTTGGACTCAGAAAATCAGAATACCTAGAAGCCACAGTGCTGTTTATAACCTCATTCAACCTGTCTTGAAAATAGCTTCTCTTCCCTGTATTCCCATTATGAACTGGATAAAATAGGTAAAATTAGAATTCAACATGTAGTATGATACAGTATGTAATAGAATTATAGTATGATAAACAAAAAACAGAAAACCCTAGTTTTTAGAAATGAGGAATTCAAAAATGCTGTGTGTTCTTTAGGCTGTTGGTTATATTTTAAAATGCACATATTTGTGTAATACACAACTGAGGTGGGTACACTAGCTAATTTTGTACTTAAAAAAAATATTACCATACATCTTCATTGGCTTTTCTGTCCTTAATCTAATGGCTTATTTCTGTAACTAATACTTATTCTCCTTATGGTGAGCTTTGAAACCATCAAGCATTTTTTAAAAATCATGAAATACTTATTTTATTAGTTTAAATGATACCATTTTGGCAGGTTAACAGTCTCTGAACAAATTATTTATTAGTTATACACATTGTTCTGCATTTAGGTTAAGAACAGAAGTATCAACATGATTGAGACCACTGATTTCATAGTCTCCTTAGGTTTGAGGAGAAGTCTGAGATGGCCTGTAGTCCATCCCACTCCCTTAAAAAGAGGAAGCTCAGACGGGGAGGTTCAGTATCTTCAAGTATATAAGTGAACCAACAACAGAAACAATTCCAGTTAATTAGCAGTCCGTTGTTTTTTCCCCTCTCTGCTTCACAGCACTGTTTCCCAAGTTATTCACACTTCTTGGCTATTTTAGACTTCTTTATTTAGCGACCTAGGGATTATTATATTTGAGCTGTAGTGGATGAGTACTCAGCAAATTAGCAAGCTTAAAAGTTTAGTGTGGGAATATGTAATCGTATGTAGATAAAAGTCGTGCATGAACTCATTTTAGCGTACAGTGGGGTGGGAAAAGGGATAAACAAATCCTAGTTCATAATAATTAACCACAGATTATTAACCTGCTGCACTGGAACTTGGGCGAATATTACGTTTTGGGGATTCTGCCTTAAAGTGAGATGATGTTTGCTCTCTAATAGCAAAGCAATTTTGGATGTTCTCTATTCACCTACCTTTATCAGATTATATTTTAGGGTTTTCTGGGGGGCCCAATAAATAGTACCTGTTTTTCCAGCCCATGTTCAGCACCAATTGAGAAATAGACACAGGGTCAGGCAGGTGGCTATACCAAGCTATTGGTTTTATTACTGACATGCAGTTGGAGAATGTGGGTAGGTATTCCAAAGCTTCCTATGACTGTAACCTAAAAAGAGAGCCTTCTCTTTAAAGGGAAAGAAATACTAAATTCATGGCTATTATTTTAATGAGGTTCATTGTATATTTATAAAAAGAAAGATAATATTTGGGGGAAAACTCCACTTATTTATTAGTCCTGTAAAATTTTAGGAAACTTTTAAAAAGAAGATATAAAAAATATGGGCTGGCCCCGTGGCTTAGCGGTTAAGTGAGCACTCTCCACTGCTGGCGACCCGGGTTCGGATCCCGGGCCTGCACCGACGCACCGCTTCTCCGGCCATGCTAAGGCCGCGTCCCACATACAGCAACTAGAAGGATGTGCAGCTATGACATACAACTATCTACTGGGGCTTTGGGGGGAAAATAAATAAATAAATAAAATCTTTAAAAAAAAAAATACTTGAGGTCTGTTAGTATAATATAGAGCAATATTCAGTACTCCTTCCTTGACTAAATATGTATTTTCTGAAAATAAAAAATGTTGAGTTTTTAGGCAAGAAAGACATTTTGTTTGATTATATCTTTGAAATCAAAATGGTTAGTTGATTTGGGGGTCGGGGGCTTCTGTCTTAATTAACCTCTACAATCTTTTTTAGTGGGAGGAAAAAATAAGCTGTTCTACTTCTTGACTTTCAGATTTTTCTGTGTCTTTACACTGAAATACATGATATTACTTGTTGGTAATTCTGTCTCCAGTCTAGGACTTTATTTCCTAACAGAAGTAAACACGCTGAATCATATTCTAGCATAACGAATGTTCACATATACAAGGAGAAGTGCTAATTAGAGGAGTAGATAGATGTGACAGGAACAGGAGTCACTAGCTACCTAGAAGAACTGAGAGGAGTCTTCACAGGGCAACGTGTGGGGTAATCTTGAAAGATGAGTAGGTGGTCACCAGGAAGGGAAAGAAGGAGACATTTCAGGCTGAAAGAATAGCTTTTTCAAAATATGAACTTACATTGTATATACTCCATATATCTTTATTGTTTTAAAAAAATTTTTTTTAATTCCGAAGAGTGGTTTGTTTCTTGTGGTAAAATCTACGTAACAGAAAATTTACCATTTTAACCATTTTTAAGTGTATAGTTCCATGGCAGTAGGTACATTCACACTGTTGTGCAACCATCAGCACTATCCATCCCCTAAGCTTTTTCATCATCCCAAACTGAAACTCTGTACCCGTTAAACACTAATTCCCCGTTCTCTCCATCTCCTGGTAACCTCTGTTTTACTTTGTGTCTCTATGAATTTGACTGCTCTAGATACCTCATATAAGTGGAATGATACAAATTTGTCCTTTTGTGTCTTGATTTATTTCACTTAGCATAATGTTTTCAAAATTCATCCACGTTGTAGCATGTCAGAATTTCATTATGAAATTTCAGTTGAGTAATATTCCATTGTATGTATATACTGCATTGTGGTTATCCATTCATCCATCAACAGACATTTGGGTCATTTCCACCTTTTAGCTCTTGTGAATGATGCTGCTGTGAACATCGGTGTACAAGTATCTGTTCAAGTCCCTGCTTTTAGTTCTTTGGGGTATAGACGTGAAATTAGAAGTGAAATTGCTAGAGCATGTGGTAATGTATGTAAACTTTTTGAGGAAACGCTGTACGGTTTACCACAGCAGCTGCACCATTGTACATTCCCACCAGCAGTGCATAAGGGTTCCAGGGTCTCCACATCCTCAACAACATTTTGTTTTAACGTTTTGAAAAAATGTACCAAACTATATACTAGTTCCATAAGAACCATGACAAATAAATTCATATTGTCTTGATTAAAAATGACGTTTTGGTGCCCAAACATAAGTAAAAGTTTACATGAGTCAGCATCAGAATATTAGCCTTTGTCTTATTGTTTGTGTAGTACAGAGTGTACTCATAGAAAGGCCTTTGAGGTAAGATATTGACTTTATAAGACTGAGTGTAAAATAAATCAAGATGAGTTCATAATCTGTATGCTTTCTGTTCTTAGCAACAAAGTTTTCTTTTTTTCTACAGCTCCCTGCACAGGCAGCACTTTCTTTTGCCATAGCAACATGTGCATCAATAACTCTTTAGTCTGTAATGGTGTTCAAAACTGTGCATACCCTTGGGATGAAAATCATTGTAAAGGTGAGTCTGCTGGTGAAAGCCTACCTTTTTTAGAGAAGAGTGGCCATTGCCTTTCATTTAAGAAAGACTTAAATTGTGCTTTTCTACAACTGTGCTTAGCATAGCTGCTTTGGCAGAAATGGAGGCATATAAATGTTCCTCTTAAATGGATCGTAGATCTCTGGGATGTGGTAAAAGCACAGAAAAATACTCTCAACAAAAGCATTTTTTTAATTATATTTTTGATCTTAAGGTGTACAAAAGTCCATCATATTTCTTGCCCTTATTTTCTTAGTCATTTGTATTGTAAAGATACCTCATTCTCAAAAGAATTTAGAAAATAACCTAGAGTATTGTTTTTTTTTAATTATATGGAAATACTATTTAATAAAAATCAACTGATGGATTCAGTCTTACACTATAAAAGCAGACTCATTGTAAGAACTGCTTTTTTTCATTTCATAAAATATCCCATGCTATATTTCCAGTGTATACTCCCTAAAAGATAAATATGGCTTGTGGTAATAGTTGAATGTCTACAAACTGGTTATCAAATCACTCTCTCAGTACTAAAATTTATCTGCCTTATATTCTCCAAGATTTCAATAAATACCTTATTATGAAAAGTTGATGTAATCTGATATGGCTGTTTAGTATGATCATTCTAGTTCTCTTTTCCTGTTGGCCATCAGTAGAAATACTGTGGGGTTACTTCAACGTGGCAGTTGGTCAAACCCACCATAGAGCACAAAGCTAAATTTGAAGGAACGTGAATATTTGTTTTGGCATTTTCTATATGCCATGTATCTAATTTGATGTGCAAAGTGTACGCATTCATGTACCTTCTGAGTAAAGAACCAAGACCTTTTTTTTGTAATCTAGCCATATTGTGATTGGTTAGTTTAACCAGAATTTACAGTAGGATTGTTTTGTTGAAAAACCTAACTTTAAACTGTATTCTCTCTGGTGTATTTGACCCGAGTGTTCTGCATTACCTAAAAATACCTTACCAATTTGTGACAGGGCTCATTAATTAATTTTGAAAGCCTCAACATTTCTCTTTCTTTTTCTGCAGAAAAGAAAAAAGCAGGACTTTTTGAACAAATCACTAAAACTCATGGAACAGTTATTGGCATTACATCAGGGATTGTCTTGGTCCTTCTCATTATTTCTATTTTAGTACAAGTGAAACAGCCTCGAAAAAAGGTCATGACTTGCAAAACTGCTTTTAATAAAACTGGATTTCAAGAAGTGTTTGATCCTCCTCATTATGAACTGTTTTCACTAAGGGACAAAGAGATTTCTGCAGACCTGGCCGACTTGTCAGAAGAACTAGACAACTATCAGAAGATGCGGCGCTCCTCCACTGCCTCCCGGTGCATTCACGACCATCACTGTGGATCACAAGCCTCCAGCGTCAAACAAAGCAGGACCAACCTCAGTTCCATGGAACTTCCTTTCCGGAATGACTTTGCACAACCACAACCAATGAAAACATTTAATAGCACCTTCAAAAAAAGTAGCTACACTTTCAAACAGGCACATGAGTGCCCTGAACAGGCCCTAGAGGACAGAGTAATGGAGGAGATTCCCTGTGAAATTTATGTCAGGGGGCGAGAAGATTCTGCACAAGCATCCATATCCATCGATTTTTAATCTTCTAATAAAGGTGACATTAATTATTAAGTATGTACGTATGCAACCTACAGAGCACCCATACTGTTTTCAGCAGCCAACCCTTCCCTCCTGTCAAAACTAGGAAGACTTTCATTTCCCATTAACCTATTGTAATGGTGAAGTTTTAGCATCTCGGGCAGTCTATATATGTTAAACCAACCAAGGGACTTACTCCATTCACTGAAAAAAATAATCATCATCTAATGCTTGGTGTCATATAAACAAAGCACCAGTTAAATAGTATTTGAAGAGAGGAGGGTTGTGTTGAGCTAGGTTCAGGCTGCCTGTTAGTTTTAGCAACAGGAATACTGCTCTTGATTGGTACAGCTTTGTCAATATTTTGATCCCACAGTAAGCTTAAAAATAAGATTTTTCTTTACATTCCTTTTATTTTTCTTTTCTCTAAATTTAATTTGTTTTATAAGCCAGTAATTTTACCATTTCAGTTTCTTACATAAATATGAGTGGTTAATGTACTACACATATTTCAATATAGGCATCTGTTTTAGAATTTGTCAAAATGTAACTAGTTACTGTGGTTAAATGCCAATTAAGATCCAGAGTTATGTTTTGTCCATCTGTTTCTTCTTGACTAATTTCTATACTGCTGCCTTTTAATTGCTGGATCCTTAGTCTTGATTTTCTGGGAGAAGTAGATGATATGATTTATCACCTTTAAGTCATATTTTGTCTTAAGTTATACTAGAAAAATTTCATAATCCTGGGATGTATGCACTATTGCCAGTTATGACTTAAAAACTTGGAAAAGATTAAAACTTCTGGAAATCCTTTGAAATTTCTCAAATTTGGCCACATTCAGTGATAGCCCATTCATTCTTATGAGCAAAGAGTCATTTAATTTTTGGGGGGAGTTCTATAATTATGTTTATTTCCATTGTTTATCACCAGATCTGTGTTTCCTATTATTTTTATAAAAAGATTATTTAGTTCTCTTTGTATTATTGGTTTTTCTTATGGCATATGGTAGCCAAAGTTGTATGAGAGTTAAAGGAAAATTCTTAAGAAACTGTATAAGCCTTTAGATTGCTTCTTACTTGGGACAATACATTTTTCTAGTTCTTACCAAGAATAATAACTTCCACTTTTTTTTTAAACTGCACTTTTGACCTTATTTTTTTTTATGGTATATAAACAATAATTTATAAACATGATGTAAAAACCCATTGTGTTTTCTTAGACTTTTGATATTATTTGATACGGTACAAACTTTATTAAATCAAGATTCAAGACCTACATGGCAGATTTCTTTCAGTGTTCACGTTAGCAGCCTTGCGTACAAATATGCTGTGATGGAACTGTACACTATAACTTATTGTAAAGACCTTGGTAATGAGTACATAAGCTTTTTGTTTCCTTTTGTTATTGCATTTAGTTTATGATACATTTTCCACTGTCTGATATTTATTGTTCTAAATCACTACACAAATCTTTTATTAAAATATACATTGTTACGTGATTCTTCAATCATATTATTTATGGCACTGAGATTTTTGATTTTAAGATATTATATGGAAAGGAATCTGTTTATTGAATTATAACTAATACAGACATGTCATTTAAAAAAGGTAAATTCTCATTTTCTGTATTTTTTGTAGTAAATTCTCAATGAAATGAGAAAGTGAAGTTTTGCTGGATTTCGTTAATTCTTTAAATATCACATCTATGTGTTTTCTCAGATTAGTGAAAACTGTGACCTTCAATATCATACATACATATAATACTTCTTCAAAATGTTTCTTTTATCACATTTTTTATTTTTTGAAAGTATGCAATATCCAGGAGATAGGAAAATCTACACAAAGTATATTCATGATTTAAGTTTTTTTAAAGTCAGCATAATTTCCTGTTTTAAAAATACAACTTAGGAAGGTAAAAAGACTTAATGAATGTAGTATTCAATGAACTAATGAACCAGAGCCAGATTAGATAGCTAAATTCTTTCAATAGCTTTCAGTAGGTTGAATAGGCATTCTAGTAGGTAACACACCAGACAGCATTTGAACAACGTAGTAAATACTTAATGTAATAACAACTGTGATCTCATTCTTCATGATGATGAAAGGAAAATTAGCATATTTTCTATGTAAAATTATAAAAACAGCTGTTAAATCCATCTTTAATATCTAGATCATGGTAGAAAATAATGCAGTATGGTTAACTACATTGGCTATAGTCATTGTAACTATATTTTTATTTTTTAAATTTGTATCCTGTTTTCTTTTGAAAGGGCGTGAAGAGGCCTACAAAATAAAGAGCCTTTAAAGAAGACATTTAACATTAAAACGGCACAGAAGTACATGGTTTCATGCAACTCAGCAAGTAAAGTTTGGAAAACAAATTTGGTTCTAAATTTTCTGGCTGCTAAAACACATGAAATAGTTTTTGTTTTTCACAGGAGAAAACCCAGACTTATCTACAGAAGCCAATTTTCTCTTAAACTAAAGAAAGAGAGGGTCTTTATAGAGGACAACATTTCCTGAAAATATAAAAAAGATGGAAAATGCAGAGAGAGGTCCTGACGGTAAATCTTAGCCCAGTGAAGGTACATCTTCATGTAATCTAGGAACATAGTTTCTGGTCAGTCTGTCTGTAGGGATAGAACCAGATGAGCCAGACTCAGAATACTGTACATTATACACCTTCATTGAACTATAAATGGATATTAGACTTCATTTATTTCTTTAACATTTGGCAGAATACTATAGGAAGAGAAGAGAATGGAACTAATAAATTTAAGCCATTATTACCAGCATAATGCTAATTGCCTAATATATAGTCTTTCATCTCTGAGGTCAGTGAGAAAACTTTACAATTGTTTACTAAAATGAAAGCCATAAATTTTAGTAATGGAAGATGGAAGGTAGCCATCTTGTGGAAGTGATTACACCCTTCACAGAGAATATAGTACCCAGTGTTAAACCTATCTTAAAATAGAAAATGGAAATGTGGAGGGGGAATCAGGATCAGCGTTCGTTACACCTCTACAATATTGTCACATTATCTTTTATCTGTGACACAGTTGATCCTGAATTTAACACAAGATATCAGTCCCCAAGTGCCCACAAATTGCAGGAAACCCACTAATCCCAACATCTCAAGTGTGTCAGAATAAAGTGTGGTGTATCTTTTGCGGGAGGAAATGTTCAACCTAAAGGTTTAACAAAAAGCAAAGGACTTTCCACATTTCACATCACAAGAAATTAAAAAGGCTCCTTTAACTTTGACTTGTTGAAAACTCTTGTGTCATTGTCTTTGTCATGTTTCATATAATTATTAGGCATTAAAAGGTCCTCCTAAATGTCTGCTTCTAAGCCTTTTTATAGCTCTGCTGTTATGTGATGAGAAGGATGCTTCCTTGATTCAGGAGTGTGTCAGCTAATGAGACAGAATGGGAAAAGCCTAGTTGTGATTCCAGGAATAATTCTCAATCAAAAGAGATTATGCTTTCTTGCAAAATGGTGTCTGCTATATTGTTCATGTTACTTTATTTCAAGTACTAAAAATAACATGCCTTGGATCAGACTGATTATAAGGAACCTTGAGTTTTTTATTTTTTGAAGATCCAAGAAAGATTATCTGGTCCAACTTGATTAATGAGAAGACTGAAGCCCAGAGAGAAGTGAGTACTCGTGTCTCAGAATCAGTCCAGTGCTCTTTGCTTGCTGTTTGCTCTCCCTGCTTTAGCTGGCTAGATGTTTTAAAAGTCAAGCAGGTCTAAATAGCAGCCCAGGTGTTCCATGTAAGCTTGTCAATCATTCTGATTTAAAATGTAATTCATTCTATAGCAATTTTTTTAAAGTATATTTTACTTTTTTTTCTTTATCTGTGTAACTCTGTTATTCTACAATTTTATTGCCATGATTTCTTGGCACCTGCAAACTCTGCAAGACAGTTACTGTGAATTCTTAATAAACAATGGGTGGTAACAGTTTATAGCCTTGACACTAGACAGAAACTGCTTCAGTGGTTTGCTTTTGTGATCTTTTGTAAATCTAAAGGAAACAATGTATACTCTAGAAATTAAACATTTGTGTGCTATATCTGGAAAGTTTGGAGAATGATTTGAGTTCTGAGCCGTTATAAATATAAGTTGACCTCAGATATCTTCTTTAGCTCCCTGCAAAATCATTTGTCCATGTTTTATTTACCTCTACTAATAACATTCAAAATTATGAATTTGCCTTTTCTTAGTAACTTTTTTATATATTTCTGTGATTGGTTTAATGACTACAAAAGCCCAAAGAAGCTAATGAATTGGGTGTGTGTTTAGTATGTACCGTCTTGAGTAAAATTTTTTTTAAAGCAATGGAGTTTTCTGTCAGAGATGAACTTCCAAACCATATAAGAATTGTCATATGCTTAACCCTGGATTTGGTGCTTCACAGTAAAAAATTTGACCCTTGAACTGGAAATAAAAACTTGTGTTTTGATTTCCTTACTTACCTCAATTTACAAAGTCTCTAGAAGTGGCAAAGAATCCTTATTTCCTTCCAGGGTAAAGTTGACATATCTTATGCAGTAGCTTCCAAAGTAAAATCATAGTTATGATAAAAATAAATAAATAAAAAATCCTCAGACTATTAGACTTAAAACCATTTTACGTTTTCAAATTAATTAATCTTCAAGTGAAGATGAACTGAAAAAAAAAAGGTGAATATATTCATAGGATCCCTGCAGGATCCAGAGTTGCATCTGGTCACCGGGTGGCAGCGAGGACTTCCACAGAGTGGGCTGGTGGAACCCACTTTCATTTTGAGGAGCAGCATGCGTCAGTCACAGCCACAGATCAGTAAGGAGAGATGAGTAGATCTCACAAAAGGTGTACACTGAGGAGAAAGCCAAAGGAAGGCAAAAACTCCTCTGAGTTTTACAGTCACAAACACAGATGAAGGAGCAAAGGAAGAAGAAAGAAAAAGGTAGCTAGCTACCAATGGTCTGTCTCTGCAAATAGTTCAAGAGCAATTTTACTTTCTGTTATTTAGGATGAAGAAACAGCTTTTAGCTAAAAGTGCTCTCACTTTTCAAGCTTTGTCAGACTCTGTAACATCTGATGCCAGCAGGCCACTGAGCCAGTACATACTTTATTGAAACATTTTGGGTAGCTGCTGATTGCTAGAAGGAATTTTCATCAGAAATTGAGGTATTGAACCATGCTTTTCAAATCTTGTTCTGTTCTTCCATTGATGGCTTTGTCGTATTGTGTTAAGTGGTGTTTCAGAGAAGGATTCATAAATTTTGAAACAAAAAATAGTCATGTGAATCGTAGGGGAGTTTTTTCTATACCCTTGAGTTATTTTATCACTGTATTATGTGTAACTTCTCAGAAAACAATTTAGCTCTGAAAATGTGCACAAGTAACAGTGAACTTGCTGCACCTGGCTCAAATATACAGCCTCTGCCTTTCACATCCATAGTCTTAACTTCCTCAGTCATTAGTTTTTACTGTAAAAAAACAAAGCTTGAGTAGGAGGCTTCTAAGACTGCTCCCAGCGATCCCTGCCTCCTGGTCTTTACAATCTTGTGTCCTCCCTTCCCCCTGAGAGTGAGCTGCTTCTAATGAATAGAATACAGCAAAAGTGACATGTCACTTCCAAGATTAGGTGACAGAAAGATTCTGGCTTCTGTCTTGATCACTACTCTTGTGCTTTCCGGCTTTGATGAAAGCCAATTGGCATGTTCTGAGATGCTCTGTGGAGAGGCCCGTGTGACAGGAAATGGGAATTTCCAGCCAACACCTAACATGGTGGATGGCATGTGAGCGGGTCTGGAAGGGGATCTTTCCCTACTGGAGCCTTGAGATGACTGCAGGCAACACCTTGATTGCAGCTTGTGAGAGACCTTGAGCCACACCCAGATTACTGACTCAGAAACCCAAGATAAAACGTGAAATTTTAAGCTGCTAACTTTTGGGGTTATTTGTTATGCAGCCATAGGTAACTAATACAAATCTAGAAAAGGACAGTGGCGTATCCCAACTCCACTCCTGGGGTAGGAGTAGTTGATGGAGATCTAACGTGATGTTTTATGTTTGCAGAAAACCTGTCAGAGGGGCCAGCCCTGTGGCGTAGCAGTTAAGTGAGCGCACTCCACTGCTGGTGGCCCAGGTTCGATCCCGGGCACACACCGACACACCACTTGTTAGGCCATGCTGTGGCGGCGTCCCATATAAAGAGGAGGAAAATGGGCATGGATGTTGGCTCAGGGCCAGTCTTCCTCAGCAAAAAGAGGAGGATTGGCAACAGACATTAGCTCAGGGTTGATCTTCCTCACAAAAAAATAGAAAAAGAAAACCTGTCAGAACCATGGGCACGTCATCCTGAATCTGGCAGCATGGAGTAAGGAGAGCTGGTCTTCCTCCTGCATGAGTACCCGTGAGCTGTCTTAGCCTCTCTAGCCACAAATAAAAACTTAACTAAATCCATTCTCTCTCTCAACTACTGCAAAAGATATT